CATCAGCCTCTGCTGCACTTTGTTTTTCAGGCTCATGCTAGCATGCTAACATTAGCGTGTTGTGAACATGTCAGTATTTATAGCTGCAGCCTCACAGAGACGTTAGCATGGCTGTCTCCCCCAACGCTCAATTATACAACAACACAATTAAATGTGAATCATTAAACACCAGCAGGCTCGTATCAATAATCAATAATCTTCAGCAGCTCAGCACTTTAACATGTTCGTCCCACCACAGGATCAGTTACTAACCTTCAACAGTAATTTGCATGAGCTGAAACAGAACAGTGACGTGTGAACAATCTCTGCTGCTGGAGAAGAAATAGACGGGTTTACAGACACCTGTCAGTGATTGGGTCAGGTGATCAGCTCTGAGGTAAACAATCAGAATCAAAGTGAGAGAGGGAAACAGGTGAGAGAGGAAGTGAAGGGTGAGGAGGGAGGAGAGAGGGGAAGGCTTATGAAACCGGACAGATGAAGCTCCCTGTGACAGACAGTGGTGTGTGAGTGTGAAGCTGCATCTTCAGGACAAACACACGTTCATGAATTTGAACATGAACTCGACAAATATTGATTCACTGAGGTGGAAACGTCTTTTGACACAAACCACATTCATTACAGTCCATTTCCTGCGAGGCTTGTTTTCACTTTTCCGCTCGGTGGAGTCTGAGGGAGAACACACACACGCACGCACACACACACACGCACACACACATGCACACACACACGCACACAAACACAATCACACACACGCACACACACACGCACAAACACGCACGCATACACACACACAGACACACACACACAATCACACACAAACACACACACACACACATCGCTCTTTATTTTATGTTTTACCTCCTGCTGAAGATTTAACCTGAGTTTATTTGAACGGATGATGATGAGAGACGCTGGAGGAAGAACACAAGCTGTGCCGAGGGATAAACACGAGACACTAAAGACTCGTATCAAACACGTTCCTTTTCCTAGATGCATAAAGTTTAGTATGTTTTTAATGTTTATTCAAAATTTACATTTTTACGTACTAGAATCACTAAAACGTTCCCACCTTCTGACACTTTTGATCCGTGTGTGTTGATCCAAGTGTTGATGACTCGATGACTAGAGACATGACTCGGACTTTAAGAACTTATTTTAACCCAAAACCACGATCTTTTCCTAAACCGAACCGTGACCGCTCCATAAGCTGAACCACGTTTGTTACTGTAACCATGACGACGGAGGTTTGGTATACCTATATTTCAGGTTGGAGGACTTGTTGTTTTTCCAGGGGGTTCCTGCAGGAAACAGCAGGCGGTTCAGGTACAGTCTGTCAAATACAGCGCAGCCGCCCCAACACTTCCTGTTCACTATTAAATGTGTCAGATTTCACATTAAGACTGGAGCTCGAGCTATTTCTCCAGTTGTGTGTGTGTGTGTGTGTGTGTGTCTCAGCTGCTGCAGCTGCTCGACTTTTGTCTGTATACTGACTTCTTATCTGAATTTCTATATATGTCATCTTCTCACAGAGGAAGTCAGGGAGTCACTGTGAGTCCTGGTCTCTCTGGTTTCCTCTGCTTAAAGTCCTATTTTTAGTTTATGGCGGTGATGATTTATGTTGATATTTTAGTTGGTGCCGTTTTGCCCTTTTTTCGTCCGTATTTTGTAACAGGCTCCGTATCAACAGGACCTGGGCAGAGGGAGATAAACTGAGCAGTCTTCCTCACACTGTGTTCTCATTACCAGCCCGTAACAAACAGGAGGGAGGTGAGAGAAAGAGAGAGGGAGGAGGAGGAGGGCAGGAGGGTTGGACAGGAAGTCCAGAGCAGGAGAATCAGAGATGGATATTTCTCATTAAGTCTCAGTGGTCTGACAGAAAAGCAGCAGGACTGGTTCAGTCTGGGCTCCAGGTCCCGGCCTCATGAACAAATATTTATTTTCCATTCCAGTCTGACACAGAGAAAAACCAGAAAACATGTCAAACACTCTCTGTGCAGCTTCTGTGTTGTGAGCATTTGCTGTTTTTCCATAATCCTGACACACGACCCACGGGCCCACTGTGCAGCAGCTGGAGTCAGGTGACCTCCGGCTGCTGGAGTCAGGTGACCTCCAGCAGCTGGAGTCAGGTGATGTATGCAGTGAGTCCACATCAGGAGGAGGTCAGGGAGGATGGATTGGGTCGACAAAACACAGGAGGCCGACGTCTGGTTGCCATGGTTGCATTATTTCAAGACAAAGGACCTGGACGTTGGATCGACACAAGGGAAGTTTGTGTTTCCAAGATTCATCCAGTGATAAACGTGATGAAAAATATTCATGAGAGCCGTGAGACGTGGTGTGCTGGTCCTGGATCAGAGGACTGAGAGCCAGACGGTTCATGTAGAAGCTCAGAGGTGTTTCACAACCGTGTGTGTCATTTGTCTCCCACCAGTTTGTGCAACACTCCCACATTGAAAACACTGAGCCGTCTGTCACACGCACGCACACACACACACACACACACACACACACACATGCATAATGCTGCTTTGACAAAAACAACACACACGTGCTCGGTCTGTCTGCTGTGACTCACACACAGATGGTTCATGTTTTACTGTGATTAAAATCATTAGAGTGAAACACTGACGCAGCTTCTGTCTCACATCCCTCTCGACTTTCTGACTACGTAGGAGGCAGTCAAAGCTCTGCTCACCTGCACAGGTGTGTCCAGTTCCTCTGATTGGATCTCAGCTCGGGCAGAAGCTGGGCTTCCAGTCCTGAGAGCGAACACGTTTTTACAGCAGGAGTTAAAGTCTTAATCCACAGAGAGCTGAACACAACCCTCACAGCCTGCCAGCTCCTCCTCTTCTCTTCCCTCCTTTTTCATGACCCAGAAACCGGTCTCTTCCTCATCAGGAAAATTCTTCCACCTGAGCCAAAGCAGCGTTTGGATCTGGATTTAAAGTTAGAATTACAGAAATCTTCACAAGGAGTTAAAAGATTCCAGGTTTTACACTTTGAAGTGTTGATCCATCAGAAGATATAAAAACCATCTCAGTGTAGTTTTACATCTCCTCTCTCAGGCTTCTCTCTGGAGCTCTAGTAACAACAGGTCGGTGAGCCAATCAGAAGAGAGGAGGCTCTGAGGGTAAAACACTCAGAGAAACCAAATCCTGCAAGGTTTGGATGGTGGGTCCAGGTGGGCGGGGCTTGGTGACTGCTTCGTTATGACATCACAAAGTTCCAGAAGTCCTGACGGCTGGTTTTAAGGCTCAGTTTCTGAATACAGGCTGTGTGCATTTCTCTGTGGACTGAGGCTTTGATACTTTCACAGTATTAATATAGAAGCTAGAGCTGATCTATAATCACACTACACATGGACAGATGAATTTGAAGATGAATTTACTCGGGTCCATGTGGCAGAAGTTTGTTCATCAGTGTGCGGACGTCAGTTCACCCTCCGATCTGTCACTACACAATGGCACCAACCACACTCCTCCGAGCAGAGTGGAAATATGTTTAATAAGAACAGCTGTGTGTCGACAGTATGTTGTATACAGGTGTGAGCAGACTCTTCTTGCTGTATGACTGTGATGAATTCCTTTTCCACCTTCACACCAGAGTTACATCAGGTACCGACGCCTGAGAGAACCCACAGGTTTTTATAAAGTGACTGCGGTGTAATAAAAAGCACTTATGTGAGTCATATTTCAAAATGAAGAGTTTTCAGTGTGTGTCTGAAACATTGTCCGATCAGTTTTCAGGCTGCGGCGTTTCTTTTAAACCTCTCTGCTGCAATCTGACAGCAAATCCAGAAAGTCTCCATCTCCTCTGTCTCCTCTCCTCTTCCTCTTCATCTCCTTTGTGTCTCACTTGATCCTCTTTAATCTTCTCTCCGACTCGTGTCGGGATTTTTTTTCTTTTTCCTTTTTCTCTTTTCCGTCTTGTGTCTCTTATTTCATGTATTTAGAGCAGAGAGGTGCCGTCAGGGACAGAGGGAAGAAGAAGAACTTAAAGATGGAATAAAAAGCAGCTTTAGATTTCTGTGATTGTGTGTGACGGACACTCGGGGGTTTTATCTGAAGAACACACTGGCTCCGGGAGAAGTGCCAACAATGTCACCTTGACAAAGAACATTTGATCAGCTGGATGAGAAGCAGACAGAGGTTTAAGGCTAATAATGATATTTTCTGTCTCTTTGTTTCCTCCTCTCCTTCAGTCTGTCAGCCACAGCACCACCGGACTGTGACCGTGAATATTATGGCCGCGGTCGTTCAGACAAACTAATCACCTTCTTTGTTTGAACCCACGTGTCCGCGTCACACTGCGCTCACCCTCCGAGCAGCAGCTCGACATTTAGCCTGAATATCATCATCCATAATAACAGCAGCAGCAGATGCTCGTCCTTGAGTTTCAGGGTCTGACAGCTCTCATCGACTGTGCTGTCTCTGCTCGATCACCTGTCAATCACGCAGTGCGGGGGCGGGACTGCGAGGTTGTCTGTCTTCACTTTTTGTTTTTTTTTTGTAGTTTTGCAGGATTTCGTGTCGTGTCTGTTTTGCTGCTTTTTTAAAAAGCAGTTTGACACTTTGAGAAATACATTTTACACTTTCTGATGCCTCGTGTCTCTCTGATATATACGGTGTTCAGTGGGTTAGCCTAGCTTAGCATAAAGATATCAATCGGTCAACTTTAGAGAGAGTGGATTTCCTTACCTATGGACGGACCCAGGCTAGCTGTTTCCCTCCGTTTCCAGTCGTTATGCTAAGCTAAGCTAAAAAAGCTGCTGATCGTAGCTTCATATTTCCTCTACAGTGATTATTTGACTGTAAAACTGTTTCTGATGATGATTAGGGCTTTACAATAATAGTTTGGTTTTGGGGAATTATTTTGTAATTATTCAAGCAGATGTATTTTTGCTTTACACACACACACACACACACACACACACACACACACACACACACAACTACATGAATCACAGAGGCTCATTCCCTCCTCTCTTCTGTCTCCTGCAGGGATCTCGATGCCGATTCCTGTGCTGGGACTCAGAGACCACTCCAAGGTTTTCAAAGATGGCAGCTGCGTGCTGACGGACAACAACTTTGTGCTGGTCGGCTCCTTCGTGGCGTTCTTCGTGCCCCTCACCATCATGATCGTCACCTACTTCCTGACCATCAACGCCCTGCAGAACGAAGCCACCCTCTGCCTGGACCAGCTGGTGCCGCGGCCTAAGTGGAGCACGACGTTCACCTTGAGCTTCTTACCGCAGACCTCGCTGTCCTCTGAAAAACTCTTCAGACGCTCCATAAGCCGCGAGGCCGGCGGCAGAGGAAGCAGCGGCGGCCTGGGAGGCGCCCGCGGGAGCGTGTCCGGCTCGCTGTTCGGACGCCGCACCATGCAGTCGATCAGCAACGAGCAGAAGGCGTCCAAAGTCCTCGGGGTGGTGTTTTTCCTCTTCGTGGTCATGTGGTGTCCGTTCTTCATCACCAATGTGCTGGTGGTGGTGTGCGACCCGGCGGTGTGTGACGCAGGACTCATGGGAGGCCTGCTGAACGTTTTTGTCTGGGTGGGATACCTGTCCTCCGCGGTCAACCCGCTGGTCTACACACTGTTCAACAAAACGTACCGCGCGGCGTTCCTGCGCTACGTTCGCTGCCAGTACCAGCCGCAGAAGAAGCCTCTGCAGCTCATATTGGTGAACACCATCCCGCCGCTGGCGTACAGCTCCACCCAGCTGCCCCTGGGCGACATCGGGAAGCTAAGGAACGGAGCGCCGCACTCTGGTGGCGAGGAGAAGGAGCTCTATTTACCCGGGCAGGAAATGGAGACGCGTAGGCCGGACAAAAGCCACGGAGACAAAGACGAAAGCTGTGTGTGAGACGGAAGAAAAACCTGGTTCAAGCTCGATCCTGAATCAGATCAAACTCTCGCGTCTAACCTCTGCGGTCGCGTCGTTCTCGGGAGCAAAGGGTTGAAGGTGTAAAGTCAAAGTGCCAAAGACAAAGTGCCTCCCAGTCAAAAAAACAGAGGTCAAGCTTCGCCTTTCAGTGCAATCTGAGCATTTACAGAGCAACTCCAGGAAGTTTGTTCCAGTCCTGATCCTCCTCATCAGGGTCAGTCGCTTCAAGTTTCCTTGTTACAACAAAATCACCTTTAACAAGCATTTACCCCCAGATGATGTCAGTCAAGAGTGATTCATGTATTTAAATCTCAATGCTGTTTAAAGCCTCCTGCACACTGCCACAAATCAAATCAATCTTGGAAAACATGTTTTATTTTTCACTTGAGATTCTTTTTTTTCAGTATCTTTCAGTCTGAGGGTCAAATGAAACAGAAGCAGGTGCAGTTCGTGTAAATGATGTTTTCTAACAAACTCTTCAGACAGGAGAATAAAAAAAAAAAAAAAAGTTCTTCACATAATCTCATTTCCCGTGGAGCGACCTCAGCCACCCCCTTCAGTCAGGTGGCCTCTACCTCCCATCATACCTTTGGGTGGATCAGCGGGGCTTAGAATGGATTTCCTGCCCCCTTATCAGATGTTAGCGCCGGAGAGGCAGATCCAGGAAGATCCAGGAGGAGCCCGGACTCACCGGGGCTCCAGACTCTCGCAGGGGTCGGATAAAGCTGCCAAAAAAAAAAAAAAAGAAAAGGAGTAAATGCTCCTGCTGCTTCTGTGTTTTCAACACTGACAATAAATATCAGACGGTGATGAGGTCACACTGTTACAGAGAGACGGCGTGAATAAATCTATATTTGTATTTTGTGCAGATGTATGTGAATAAATGTAGATGATTGTCGCGGGTGAAAATATTTTATTGACCGGTGAGAGGATGGTTTTTGTTCCTGATGTGACGCAGTGAGAAGAGGAGCGGAGAGCTAATGTTCCCAGAGACTAGACATAGACCTGGTCCAAGATACTTAAAGAGGAGGGAAAACATCACAGGTGCGTGGTGTTGCTCAGGTGTGATCTGAGATGCTGCAAATAAAGTCAAAGATAAACCTGGGGGGAAACAACTCGTCATAAATCCACTCTAGAGGAAGTAAATACATATCTTTCAAAACAAAAGATATATTCCAACATCCGGTGAAGACCCAGCAGGTGAAATGCTAAGCAGGGGCGTTGTAGCTAGGTGCTAGCTCAGGTGATATTAAATGTGGTTGTTGTTAGACAGGGCTACACACACAGCTACAGGTGTGCACTGTAGTACGACACAGTGTGATGAGTGTAAAGGACAGGATACAGTTTCTAGGGGCAGGTTGTAATATTGCAGAATTATGTTAACAGACAATTACAAGATATGCTATAATATGTGTATTATTTAAGCACTTTAAGAGTTCCGGGTGCTGGAGCGGTAAAATTAAGTGTCCCACCCCCACCTCCACGCCCCATTAGACTTTACACTGACTGTATATGAAGCACAATAAAACTGCTCTTTCTAGTCCCTGAAGGCGTCTTCACAGCCAATTAAATCATTACGGTTAAAACATTCACAACACAAACAGTAATAAAGGAGCTTATTTTAGATCGAGGTGTCACATCGACAGTTTTAACAACATCGTTTGTATAATGTTGGTCTACAGGGAAACACAGTTTGGGTTTAACACTGTTAGTACATCCACGGTTCATCTAACGACAAGCACGTGAAACCAAAAGCAACAAGAAGAAGAACAGTCCACAAATCGCTGTTTCACTCTGGACCAGAACTCCTCGCAACTGAAGAGAAGGCTAAAGGCTAACGCTAGCTCAGGGTGTATTAAAAGTTAAAGAGTTGATGCTCGTTGCACAAAGTGTGAGAAGAAGAAGAAATTTTTTCAGCCAAAGCAGCAGCAGTCAGGTTATTTATCGTCACTACAGGTGTTACTTTCAGCTGCACACGAGGAGCTTAGACATGTATAAACTCTTTAGCTTTACGGCAACATTTAGCAGTGATGGACTTTCTACTTCCTGCTGCGTCACAACCGGGGTTAGGTGGCTGAGAGGCGGGAAAGGCAGGAGGGAGGGGCGGGGTGAATGAATGAATAAACTGAGACACGTCATTTTTACTCCTCAGTTTTTGTACAAAACAAACAACAGCTGTTTACCACATTCCCAGTCTTTATGCTATGCTAAGCTATGCTAAGCTAACCAGCTGCTGACTGAGGCTTCACATCTACCATCCAGACATGAGAGTGGGATCCGTCTGAACATCTAAGTCTCAGTTTTTGAATGAAGTGAAATGGAGATTTAGTCTGAACCATGAAGGAAATTTAAAAATTGAATTTTGTTTGTTCATCAGAAAAATGTAAAATTAATATTTTGGTTCGGTTTTTCCACTTTTGGACTACAAAACTGAAAAGTGAAGTAGCTCCACACAGATCCATGCCGTCATCTGATGGTTCATTTTCCCGCTCTGTTGGACGCTGTTGCAGTGACGCTGCCTCGGACAAAAACTTTATTCACACTGATCACGGACAAAACCAGAAAAATAAAACAAAACCTCAGAGTTTCCCTGTACAGGCTTCAGGATGAGCAGAGCAGCCACGGTGGATGAAGGACTGTCGTCTGACCATCTCGTTAAGTCTTTGTCGTGTTGCTCATCCCGGTCCAGGACCTGGACCCGCTCAGATGATGTAGCTGCAGTCTGTGTGTAGTTCTGTTGCTGTTGCAGTGATGTGAAGAGCACCAACACCTCCCTGCTGACCTAACTGTGGATCCACAGAGGAGGTGTGTTTTTAAATCTTCAGTAGTGTTTGATGTTTGATGGTGACGGTCACGTTTCTTTTCTATGTCAGCTGTGGAACCGTTTTCAAATCAGAGTAAAGAGAAAAACTGGAGACGAGACGTTTTCCACGTGTGTGAAAGTTTCATTTGTTCACGTCAGATGTGTGTGTGAAGAAACATTCACTCAAAATGCTAATTATGACACAATCTAACACAAATATGAAAAATGCAGAAAATGCAGCACAGGAAGTGTCAGGTTCAACATAATTACCACACAGAATCCCGGTTCTGGTCCTGCAGTCCGGGTGTTCTCACCACGTTTCTTCTGTTTAGCCTGAGGGGTCTGAATCCAAATCATTTCCAGGACAGATCCCCAGATACTGACTGAGCTTGGTGTGTTTTGATGCCTCTTCACAGACTTGTAGCTGCAGCTGAACACTCACCACATTTACATTCATAAAATAAAGTAGGTTACTGGGAGAAGCCAGATCAGAGACTGTGTTTACAAGGACTGCAGCAGCGCAGCTGTTAAAGCAGGACTATGAACCTTTCTGCTGAGCAGCAGATACGGCGCCCTCTGCAGCCACAGGTTGTAATTACAGCACGCTGGTGCAGCTGTTAGCTCCAGAAGCTAACAGCTCGTGTGTTAGCCTCAGGTAACAAACACAAAATCACCACCTCAGTACAAACCAGTAGTCACACTGTCTGAACTCATCCGAACTCACAGCAGCTGAGTGCTAACATGGAGATGCTAGCAGCTAGCAACTTCACCTCTGCCATGATGTCTGTACTGAGAATACACAGCTAGCTTCTTTTAGCTAGCTGAAGACCTGTAGTTGCAGGTGCAAGATACAGTGTCGCACCAAAGATACTCTGTAACAAAACACTTTTTAGCCGTTACTCCAGACTTCACAACAATCATGACAAAATCTCACACAAATGTTTAATATTTTATCTGACTCTGGAAAAACAGGGATGTGACCTGGAACTAGTCTGAGTGGTGGAGGCAGACAACCAGGAGGAGGTGATCTGGACCCACAAAGCAGAACAACTGATGAGGTGAAAACATGTAAAGTCCTCTAATTAGAAAACTAGCTATCATAGTTGAGTTGTAGGGGTTTGGTTGGGGACGGTGGAGCTGGGCTGACCAGCAGGAAACCCCCGGAGTCCGACTCCGTTTCTTTGTTCTTTCTGCAGCACAAACAATAAAAAGCTGCTCTGCTCTGATTCATTCGTCATGATTCATGTTCAGACTGAAATAAATGTGGAGAACCACAGAATGCACACACTGAGACCTGTGATGGAAATTAGGGAGGAGAGCGAGAGAGAGAGAGGGAGAGAGAGAGAGAGAGCGAGCGAGTGAGCCTGATATTGTACTTATCTGATTCGCCCACAGCAAGTTCTGTCCAACCATCCAGTTTTTCTTTGTGAAGAATTTATCTTTACCCCATCTGTCTTCTGCTGTTTAAAATAGCACCAGCCAAGAGCTGTTCAGAGAGCACACACACACACACACACACACACACACACTGTATCTGAGTATCTTCACCAGCTGCTGTACAGCGATGCTTCAGCCAAATGCTAACATGCTGAAGTTTAGCAGGTATAATATTCACCGTGTCTTGGTTTAGCATGTTAGCATGCTAACAGTTGATAATTAGCACTAAACACAAGGTGCAGTTGAGGCTGATGATGTCGTTGGTTCTGCAGGTGTTTGATCATAAACCAAAGTACTGGACAAATTAAAATGTGACCTGAATTCTTTGAAAATCAAGCAATTGTTAATTAAACGTCACTTTATTCTGAAAGGATATATTGCAAAAAGAAATGATGTTTAAAAAAAAACATTTAGAAAAATGGGACATTTAGAAAGTAGCAGGTTGGTTGTGATTGATAGTTTGATCTGTGCGAGTGTCTGGTCTTCTGTCATCTTCTGTCATTTCAATAGTTATTAAGATGACACATCTGAAACACTTGAACCTTTTTAACCTCCATCCAACATCCAGATGTTTTGACGTGCACATCAGTGCGACTGTATCTGAGCAGCTGAGATTAAAACTTTTACTGGCTGGTTTTATGAGCTGCAGCGAACGAGCTAATGTAATCATGTTGAACATTTTATAAGGGTTTTAAATATTCACTTGATGGCTGTCGTTATTTCTGCACGATCACAGTAATC